GCTGGGATAATTGTTCCCTGTTTGAGATAGGGTAACGTTTAAGTTATATATAATGGGGAGTAGTGGAAGGGACGATCGCGAGCGGTGATGGTTTGGCTTGGATCTCATGTGATGACGGGGATATAGCACAACGTAGAGAGGGAGTTGATGCAATCCAAGGACAAGGTCAAGTGATGGGTACGTTCCTAGAAAAAGTTAAAACATTGGATGAGCTATTCAATGGTTGATAACACAAGCCAACCGATCGATAAGGTGAGTGTAAAGGGGGTAAATTCAACACCTTACGATATTTCAGTTTTTGAGATTGACCGCTATGTGCTATACTTGCCTTTGTGTGATTATTTGATGCATGTGATTGCGTGTGATTTATGCTTCCAGTTATACATATTATAATGCGTGTTTTATTTATAAGTAAGTTGAAGCTTAAGAACATGTTTTCTTTTAAGAAGTACTTCACCTTCAAGAAGGTGAAGCCGTTTTAAGAGTTTTTAGTCGCTAGCGAAAGTCCGTTGCTATTTGAGATTTTCAGATAGAGCAACAGTTATGCTCTTGAGATCTTTGAGACAGAGCAGCAGTTATGCTCTTGAGATATTTAAGTGAGCAGCAGTTATGCTCTTGAGATTTTTAAAATGAGCAGCAGTTATGCTCTTGAGAATCGTGGAAGAAGAGCCTTCCACGATAAGTTTAAGTTTAAGGAAAGCCTGGATTGCTTCTCATACGTATGAGTTGGAAACCAGACTAGCTAGTGAGGGATCCCCGTATCAGTCAAGAATTTAAGTGTAGATTTGAGCTTTAAGAGTACAGTTTTAAAAGTTAAGATTTTTAATAGTGGAAGAGCAAAACAACTTCTACTAAGTAAAGTAAATTGATCAAGTATTAATAAAATGTTAAACGTAAGGGCGTAGACTGATTTCATCTCACTCACCAGTTTATAGAGCTAGAGGAGCAGTTAGTGAGCAACGAGTTCGAGGGCAACCAGTTAGAGGAGGGCAGTATAAGCGTCACAGAGGATGCTTAGTCAAGGTTTCAGTGGCAACAACATTAGAGATTATTAGTTATTTACATTTATGATTATGAGTATAGACTGGAGATCATTTTGAGATTTTAAGTATTGAGTTTGCCAATGTGTTAGGGCATTGCTTTGAACTACAAGTGTGTGTGTTTTCAGTATTTTATTTATGAAAATATTTCCCGCTGCAATTTAAGATTCGAGTATTTCATTTTATTTTTCAAGGGAATTTTAGTAAAAGTGGTACCCGGCAGGTAAGGGTGTTACATTGCCCACACACTCTTCCATCTTCTTCGTTCCAAGATTGGTGTCATCCCCGCCACCATCTTGTTGGGGCGTGATAAGGAATTTACTTAGATTATTTTAATTAAATTTGATTTATGTAATTACTGGCTAGGTTGTTACCTTACCCCTTTGTAGTTGAGTGGGTAACTATTTCTGTCGTAGAGTTGGTACTTAAACAACTGCCCAAGGTAACATAGCCTAGTGGTGAAACCACTGGACCAATTGAGCTCTGGATGTGGGAGGTCCTGAGTTCGATTCTCAGTGGCGCCACTTGAGCGTTCCCGGCGACACCATTGGTATCGGAGGCGAATCCTCCCCGATGTTGGTAGCAGAAAGCCCCGGTTAGTATGCAAGTACTTCAGTGGTTTAGTAGGCACCGCTATCGCTCAAAGCGGCAGGGGGCTGAGGTTGCATGGGTTATAAAAACAAAAAACAAAAACAAAAACAACTCTCATATCTAATGCAAAACATATCATTCAAGGCAATTACAAACTGCGACCCTTTATTTAAGGCAAGGTTTTCATGCTGAGTTGCTAATGATTTTCTACAGAATATTTTAGGTCGATGCAAGTTCGTTGCAGTTTCTTTTTGAACTTTTTATTGAATCTTATTAGTTTGCGGATGATTTTCTGTAGATCTATTGAGACGATTGACATATGTGTAATGATAAACTCGCCTTCGGTGTAAGTTCTTTCTTTTGTTTCCCCATCCAATATGGCCCAAGTATATTTTAATAAAAGACATAAGTATCTGTGATTTTTGTCAAATTAGGTTTACCAACACTTCTTCGGAAAAAATCCCAAGTTACACATGTTTTTAAAAAAAATTCTCAAAATACACATGTTATGAAAAAAATTCCCAATCTACACATGTTTGGGCCTTCACCGCGTCAGAGAAGGGCGGTGATTGCTTCACCGTGGGAGAGAAAAACGGTGATTGCTTCACCGTGGGAGAGAAAAACGGTGATTGCTTCACCGCGTGAGAGCAAAACGGTGAAGCACTGACCTGCGTCCAAACTTTAAAACAACGTAACTTTGTGCTCGGTTATCCGATCGTAGCGAATTTTTTTTTGATTCCGCATAATTTTTCGAGATCTTGCGAGCCACAAACCGCCAGAGGCGGTTTGGTCCCGCCTTCGTCTCGAAAAAATGTCGTTTGCTACCCCGAACGACCCTTTTTTCGATTTCGTCAAACTTTGAACGACCATAACTTTGTGCTCCACAATCCAAAAATCATGAATTTTTTTTTTATTCCGCATAACTTTTTAAGGACTACAATTTTTAGTAGGAGAGAATTTTCAAAAAATGAATTATTTATGGATATAAGGGGTTTTGGGAATAACTTTACCTTCCCTTTTCATGAATCCAAGTGCATTCCGAAATTATGTCTATGATAAAAATTGTAGTCCTTAAAAAGTTATGCGGAATAAAAAAAAAATTCATGATTTTTGGATTGTGGAGCACAAAGTTATGGTCGTTCAAAGTTTGACGAAATCGAAAAAAGGGTCGTTCGGGGTAGCAAACGACATTTTTTCGAGACAAAGACGGGACCAAACCGCCTCCGGCTGTTTGCGGCTTGCAAGATCTCGAAAAATTATGCGGAATCAAAAAAAAATTTGCTACGATCGGATAACCGAGCACAAAGTTACGTTGTTTTAAAGTTTGGACGCAGGTCAGTGCTTCACCGTTTTGCTCTCACGCGGTGAAGCAATCACCGTTTTTCTCTCCCACGGTGAAGCACTCACCGTTTTTCTCTCCCACGGTGAAGCACTCACCGTTTTTCTCTTCCACGGTGAAGCAATCACCGCCCTTCTCTGACGCGGTGAAGGCCCAAACATGTGTAGATTGGGAATTTTTTTCATAACATGTGTATTTTGAGAATTTTTTTTAAAAACATGTGTAACTTGGGATTTTTTCCCACTTCTTCCCAGAAATAATAATCGGATACCCTGATCCACGAGTAATATATTTCTGCATGAAGCTAAATTAACTTACACATATATTGTTGTTCATGAAGATATATAAGTGGAAGTTGGTCAAGATTGACTGATATCAAGACTTCGTTGCTAGAGGAAAGACGAAACTGTGAACTTGTAGCTTGATGTAGTTTCAGGAGTTGATGCATATTGTACCAACTCAAGAATATCTTACAGAATAGACCTTTGATTCACATAATTTCAGATGATTTGGCTAGACGGAATGGCTTTGTAATTGATTATCATTATCTCAAAGTTTCATCCTAGAATAATTAGTCTTTACAATTATATGTTAACTAACATTGATCAATAAATGGCATTTGAACTAATTCATTTTCATATACGAACTTATGGGTCAGACTGGCGTACGTCAAGGCGTATACTATACGTCAGGTACTACTAGTGAGATATTTCTATCTAGACCATGAATTAAATCGAGTTTGGGGTATGATACTATACCCTAACCTTTAATGGATAAATCTCATGCACCGATTTTCTAAACACCAATCCGAAGTTTGATTTTGAAACACTCTAACCCGGCTAGGTACTACTTTTACTAAAATGCCTTTAATAAATAAAATACTCAAATCTTAAATTGCAGCGGGAAAAGTTTTCATAAATAAAATACTAAAAACACACACTTGTAGTTCAAAGCAAAGCCAAAACACATGGGCAAATTAAACTCAAACTTTAAAATCTCAATCTGATCTCCAGTCTATACTCATAATCATAAAAATGCAAATAACTAGGTAGTCAATATCGTTGCTGCTACTGAAAATCTTAACTAGGCATCCTCCGTGACGCTTGCACTGCCCTCCTCTAGCTGGGTACCCTCGAACTTTTCCTCTCGAACTCGATGCTCTCTAACTGCTCCTCTAGCTAGCTACTACCGATCTGGTTCTCGCTCATTCCCTTACTAAGGCCCGGTGAGTGAGTTGGGGTCAGTCTACGCCTTTACGTTTTAAACTTTCTAATAATTTTGCACTCTTCTCAAACACTTAAACTCAAACTGAGGGAAGTTGTGTGTACTTCCATTCTTAAAAATCTTAACTCTTAAAACAGTATGGGAGTAACTGTTACTCTCCATTCTTAAAGCTTAAATAATTGACTGGCACGGGGATCCCTCACTAGCTAGTCCGGTTGCCAACTCATACGTATGAGAAGCCATCAAGGCTTTCCTTAAACTTAAACTTATCGTGGAAGGCTCTTCTTCCACGATTCTCAACAGCATAACTGCTGCTCAACTTAAAAATCTCAAGAGCATAACTGCTGCTCTGTCTCAAAGATCTCAAGAGCATAACTGCTGCTCTATCTGAAAATTTCAAATGGCAACAGACTAGCGCTAGTGACTAAAAACACTTAAAACGATTTCACCTTCTTCGAAAGTGATGTATTTCTTAAAAGGGATTGTTCTTAAGCTTTAATAATCACTCATAAACGTAAACTTCAAAGTAAGAGATAAACTCATACATCTTCACTTCAAATCATAGCTCAACCATAGCACGTACTATCAAACATAATCATGCAATCTCAAACATGAATCAAACACTACACATACATCACGTAAATCAATACTTGAAAATAATCAAGACAAATACTTGAAAAACCGTAAGGCGTAGAATTTACCCCTTTATGCTCACCTTACTTTCGTTGGAAATGGCTCTGATTTTGCTCCGAAGTTTTCCATACTCACTTCCATACTTGCTTGAATAAAATGGAGCAGCTTGGCAAATGGAATTAAATGGACCAGCTTGCTTTGGTCATTATTGGCATCCAAGTCAGGGCAGAGATGGCAATAACAGCAAGACGAGCTTGCTTAATCAAGTAGCCCTTGTAGTACAGAGGAAAAAGAAACCCACCGTTGACGCTCCTCACTCAGCCAGTCCTCCGTCATCGCCTCATGCCTGCTTCCCCTCGTCGTCCACAACGCTCCTCACTCAGCCAGTCCTCCGTCGTCGCCTCATGCCTGCTTCCCCTCGTCGTCCACAACGCTCCTCACTCAGCCAGTCCTCCATTATCTCCTCATGCCTGCTTCCCCTCATCGTCCACAGCGAAGATAGCAATGACCACTAGACGAGCTTGCTTAAGCAAGCAGCTCTCGTAGTGCTCCTCCCTAAGCCAGTCCTCGCAAGCAGCTCTCGTTCTGCTCCTCCCTAAGCCAGTCTTCCATCTACTTCCCCTCATCGTCCAATAGCAATTACCATTAGACGAGCTTGCTTGAGCAAGAAACTCTTGTAGTAGAGAGAATGATGGTGATCTTCCTCGTTGCCTCATGCCTGCTTCCCCCATCGCCCAATAGCAATTACCATTAGAGCTGCTTGTTTAGGTGCTCTGCCTCCCCTTGCCTTGATTTCCCAAAAAGAATTCATCCACCGCCACCTCCTGCTTGCTTCCCCATTGTCCAAATAGCAATGACAAGGAGATGCCCTGCCGATAGCGACGGGGAAACAAGGTAATGATATGCTCTGATTCCTGACGATACAAATAGCACGGAGACGAGTTTGCTTAAGCAAGTACCTCTCGTAGTACAGAGAGTAACGTACTGTGTCTCCCTTTGGACGATGGAGCCGCTTTGATTTGATTTCCCTGGTCGGGAGAGTTGCTTTTCGGTGGAGAAGTAAAAAGGCTGCGAGGGTTTTGCTATTGTGGTGAGACCGATTGGGGTGGAGGGTCTAGGACTTAATTAGTTAGAGGATGTTTTGGGAATCTCGCAGCTACGTGTGAGTTTAATACGAAACTCAATTAATGTCCGTAACTTCCTCAATTTATGTTCAAATTGGACACCGCTTAGTCCAACATTTAACATTTTTAGTCCTCATTGATATTACGGCGGTACTTGACCCAAGGGTATAATAGTCATTTCCTACATCCTTATTAAAATTTCGTCCCCGAAATTTGATCGGGCTCATCCTTCCATACTCCTCATTCTCGTGCTTCTTTGTCTCAAGATTTCATTCTTGCTATATGAACTTCAATGGCGTGCCCTTACCTTATCTTGAATAGCTTACTATAGTTCTTATATGTACTCTTGACCATAACATGTATTCTCATCTAGCTCGGTAGCATCGAATAGGTTGAGTGACTCATTGCCCCTTTCGAAAATTTCCAACTTGGGTCCAGGATGTGATGGGACAAAATTCTGGATCAATTTATTGGTCCAACTGATTCAGTACTTGATGTTGAACCTAAATCGAAGTCGAGGTATCACAGATTTAATGAAAAACAAAAATTGACCGTTGAGATCGGCCAGATCTCATATAATACATCTAACGGTTAGATCACTTGTTGTATACTATACGCCTGGCGTATACCAGTCATTACCACAAAATTTTATATATTATGTGAATATATCACTCCTAGTGATCGATAATTAGCCATAGTAAAATACTTTGACCAATTGTTAGCATCTAGACATGGGATAACCAACTAAATACCACGACTAATGACCAATTGTTTGTCTCGGTATATTTCGTATAAAAAGGTGTACATCCCACATCTAAATGACTTTTTTGTCGATTTTGTATGGCAAGAATTGATATTAGTCTTGGGGATTCCCGTGATGAATATGTACAAATGATCACGGGAAATTATACTGTGATTAGTTATAACTAGTCACGGTACATATTTCTCATGACTTTTACAATTAGATACGAACGTATATATTACAACAATTTTTTGGTGACTAAAACATTTAAACACGACAAACACACTTCCAAACACGAGATTTTCCTTGATTAAATGATATTTTCCTGTAGTGCAAGGAGAATAAAAGAAGGCCAGTTCTCTAAGCACTCATGAAACCAGGCGGAGTTCATGGCTAAAATGAACAAAACAATGAGAACCAATAAACGGATAAAAGTTAGTTGTGAGACGTATGTTGTCTTAGTATACAAGAAAAACCAACGATTCAAAGATATCATATCTACCCATTGGTGAGTGTACTTGATATATGTTCACTACGGAAGGTTCAAAGGGAAGCCCACCTATCCGGATGCAACCGATTGATGAGTATGCTTCATATATGTTCACTACGGAAGGTTCAAAGAGAAACCCACCTATCCCGAGGAACTAGTTAACTGATTCACGAAATACTATCCATCATGTCATCGAGATACTTGATCTCGGGAACCATCGTAATCGTTCTTAGCTTGACATCATTCACAGACTCTACCTCATTTGCCTCGTATCTTGAGATTCTACTTGAGTTAGCCAGGTTCCTTGCTTCCCTTTTATACTAATGATCGCTATATGCCTCAATCTCTTTTTTGACGTCCCGCGACGTGTTAACAAAATCGCACCCCAGCTTATTCCTAAACCAATTACGACCTCGTGCTACCATTCCATCGTGTGGTGATGTCATAGTTATTCACCATGATATGATTAGTGTAGAATGGAGATTCTATAAACTCTTAAATGAAGATCCTTGACTCGTTTGGCCAAACCTCTAACTTAAAACTCGTTTTCTTTTCCTTTAAAACTGAAACCTTTAAAACTAAGACTGATATTCCATTATTCCTTGGAGACCAAGAAACAGAGGAAAACCGGCTATGATACCAAAATGTGACATCCCAATCACTGAAACCCATAAACAATAGTTTTGCTCCATAGCATATTTAAAATTTTGAAAGAAAAGAAATTATAATGTGCTCGAAGTACCAATATCGAAAATACCTCTTATAATTTAAAAGCAAAGCCCTGACATTTGGGCAAACCTCAATCTATAAAGTCTTAATCTTTTTAATCTCTAGTCGTTACTCACAATCATGAAGCAAATAACTAAAGCTCACAAATGTTGCTTACTCCGATTCGTGTTCAGACATCCTCAGTGGTCCTCTTCTTGCAGCTTACTCTCTTGCCAGATGCTCCTCAACTACATGCTCCCTAGATCTTCCTCTATGATTTGGTGTGTGGGTTCGGTCAGTCTACGCCATTACTTAAACTCGAAGCACTTAAGGGTATTCCCTTAAATGTTCACCTCAAAACTTGTGCAAGTTGTTTATACTTCCACCCTTTAAACTTTAACTCTTAAAAATGAGGGAGTTATTGTTACTCACAACTCTAAAAAACATTAAACCTTTTACCGACACCGGGATCCCCTCACTAACTAGTCCAGCCGCCCAGCTCATACGTTTGAGGGATAACATAAGCCTTTCCTTATATTTTTTATGGGTTATCTAATCGATTCATCCACATATTCCTTAAGAGCAAACTTGCTCTTCTTTTCAACTTTCACTGGGGCAGGGAACTGGCATTAGTGAACTACATTTAAACGTTTTCACCCTAATTTAATTAGGAGTGAATTACCTCTTAAATGTCGATCTTTAAGGAAAAAATCCCAAGTTACACATGTTTTTAAAAAAAAATTCTCAAAATACACATGTTATTAAAATAATTCCCAATCTACACATGTTTGGGCCTTCACCGCGTCAGAGAAGGGCGGTGATTGCTTCACCGCGTGAGAGCAAAACGGTGACTGCTTCACCGCGTGAGAGCAAAACGGTGAAGCACTGAACTGCGTCCAAACTTTAAAACAACCTAACTTTGTGCTCGGTTATCCGATCGTAGCGAATTTTTTTTTGATTCCGCATAATTTTTCGAGATCTTGCGAGCCACAAACCGCCAGAGGCGGTTTGGTCCCGCCTTCGTCTCGAAAAAATGTCGTTTGCTACCCCGAACGAGCCTTTTTTCGATTTCGTCAAACTTTGAACGACCATAACTTTGTGCTCCACAATCCAAAAATCATGAATTTTTTTTTGATTCCGCATAACTTTTTAAGGACTACAATTTTTAGTAGGAGAGAATTTTCAAAAAATTAATTATTTATGGATATAAGGGGTTTTGGGAATAACTTTACCTTCCCTTTTCAGGAATCCAAGTACATTCCGAAATGATGTCTATGATAAAAATTGTAGTCCTTAAAAAGTTATGCAAAATCAAAAAAAAAATCATGATTTTTGGATTGTGGAGCACAAAGTTATGGTCGTTCAAAGTTTGACGAAATCGAAAAAAGGCTCATTCGGGGGTAGCAAACGACATTTTTTCGAGACGAAGGCGGGACCAAACCGCCTCCGGCGGTTTGCGGCTTGCAAGATCTCGAAAAATTATGCGGAGTCAAAAAAAAATTCGCTACGATCGGATAACTGAGCACAAAGTTACGTTGTTTTAAAGTTTGGACGCAGTTCAGTGCTTCACCGTTTTGCTCTCACGCGGTGAAGCAGTCACCGTTTTAGACAAAAACGGTGAAGTATTCACCGTTTTGGTCAAAAGCGGTGATGACCTTCACCGCTTTTGTCTAAAACGGTGATGCTCAAACATGTGTACTTTTGGAATTTTTTTTATAACTTATGTATTTTGGGAATTTTTTTTAAGAACTAGTGTACTTTGGGATTTTTTCCGATCTTTAAAGATTAGGCAACCTTCAATAAATAATCATAAATACAAAAGCTTCAAGTAAATATTGAAAGCTCAAAATCATATACTTCAAAACCAAAACTAAATTAGAGCATTCATAATCAATCACTAGCATACATTTCATGTAAAACACATACGTAAAACTCGTAATGCAATTACTTGAAAATACGTAAGTATAGAATTTACCCCCTTAAACCACTCTCCTCTCAAGTGACAATTCTTTTGGCCTCTTGACGTGGAACCCTCAATCCGATTGTTCCCTTAATCCTATAAACCAAAAGTATTCCCTTTTAGTCGATAATTGTTTGACTCACTGTGAAATTTTCCTCCTTAATGCTTAGTCTAAAAAATCCTTTAAAAATACTCTTAGGGGTCGTTTGGAGAATGGGATTTAGGGCGTGGATTCATTGAATCCGTAGATTTTGTAGAAAGTTATGTTTTTTTTGTTGTTTTTTGTATTGTGGATTTGAACTTTAGAGATTTCAAATCTCTAAAATCTACGGATATCAAATCTCTCATAATCAGAGAGATTCTATATCTTGATTCGTGAGATTTTTTTCTCCTACTTTTTCTCTTAGTTTTATTTATTTATCATATTAAATATATTTATCAACAAAGTTTTTAATATTTCTCGAACCACTCTAATTTTTTATTAAGGATAA